ACACATGGTAGGTCCATGTGTTAGTTATTTCCATGTCTCCCTGGTTATGTGGCTTGACACAGGGCAAAGAACGCGGGAGCTGGGGACAGCTCACCGGGGTTCGGCTCCTGGCTGGCCACTCCCTGGGGCAGTGTACTCTGCCAGGACCTGGCTCTCATCTCCAGGACAGGGACCCCTCCCTCCCACCACTCAGAGAGGCGACAGTCACCTCAGAAGACCGGACGAGGCCTGAGGGACCAGTGCCCCTCTCCAACCTCGTGTTAGGGTGGCAGGACGGTTACCACGGGAGCAAAGCCAGAGCTGGTGTTCCAAAGCAAGCCGTCCTGCGTGCTTGGGCCCAGCACGGTCACACAGGGCCCCACCACACGATGCTATCTTCCACACTGGCCAATGGAGCTCGGACTTCTCAGCCTCCAAAACCATGAGTCAGAATAAACCTATTTGAGGCTGAGGCAGGAGGATTGCAAGTTTGAGCCCAGTCTGGGCAACTCAGCGAGGCCCTGGGCTCGGTATCCAGTACCAAACAAGAGACAGATAAATGAATGAATAAATACATAACCCTGTTTTCCTTGTAAGGTATCCAGTCACCAGCATTTTGTTACAGACTAGGCTCCCAAAGGTTAATTTTCTCTCTTCTTTCTTCCAAGATTGAGCTGCTTGAGTGTAAAGACCAGGTTACTATCTTTATACAGACTGAATCTTGGGCACAGTAACCCGCAAGTTGTGGATGTGCAAAAAGGAAAAAGAAAACAGAAAGACCAGGCAGCGCTTTAGAACACTACACTTTCATTTCCCTCCACCTGTACTTCAGAGACACTTACTACAACAGTTAAATGCTTATATTGTTCCATAATTATTTCATGTTTGCTGGTCTGGCCTCTCCCCATGGACAGGAAGATTCCTAGGGTCAAAAACGCCATTCCTTACGTTCTACTCGCTAAGCCCACGGACACAGCCCATTCCCATGCCGTTTCATTTCATACACTCCATACCAAAGGGTCAGAAACAGAACCTAAAAAGGGACCTTCCCAAAAAGAAGCTGCCCCCCTGCAGGCCCCAGCTGCCAACTGTCCAGACTGGCACGGCCCAGGGGGCCTGGCTGTCCAGGGGCAGGGTTAGCATCCCAGTGCTGAAACTGGGAAAATGCAAGGCAGACGGTGAGCCGGGCAAGACTGCCGAGCCGGTTTGGCTCTCTCTGGTGCCTTCAGAAACTAAGGGTATCAGGTCAGCAGCAGGTTAGTAAGGTGTGGGGATCCCAGGGCATAAAGCAGCAGCTGTCCATCAAGCACGAGGCACCTCAGAGACGTCCAGCACCAGGGCCCACACACGCCTCGGGCTCTCCTGATCCTGAGAGGAAAGGCGGCCTCAAAAGGCAGCAGGGCTCAGTGTCAGGGTGCTAGCCTCGCCCCACCATTGCCAGGCGCCAGGCTAGGGCACTCAGAGCAGGGGACAGGTGAGTGACTCACACTCCCTCAGTGCTGAAGCCGGCCCTCGCCCAGCCACACCTCTGGCTGAGCGCTCACGCAGAGGGAGCCCCATCCCCTCAGAGAGCTGCACCCCACGGTCCCCCTGCTGGCAGCCAGGGTGTAGGAACAACCTAGGTGCCCATCAATGAGGGGACGGATAGAGAAAATGTGGTGTTTCTATGTTTTTGTATATTACATGTTATACAGATGAGTGTGGTTGAAAAATACAGTGACTGTCTAAATTTTTAAAAATGTTATTAACTTGGTTCCGCTGCCTGCCTCGAAAGCACAAGGACCAGAGTTCGATCCCTGGTACCAAAAATAAATGTCATTAACAGTGAAAGATACACTGCCATTAATCCCCCCAAAAGGTTCCCCTCAGTCTGAGCACACTCTTCCCACTGTTCTCGCCCATAGACAGACAGTACATATTATATATTACATACATCGACATCAGTCAGCCTTAAAAGGGAGGAGATGCTGCCATCTGCGGGAACATGAATGGACCTAGAGGACACTGAGTCAGGTGAGAAAAGCCAGACAGAAAAATAGTGCATGATCTCACACGCTTAAAAAGAAACCAAAAAAGGTCAAATATAGAGAGAACAAAAGACCGGTAAGGAGACTCCCCAGCACCGGGGCACAGTGGTCACCAGGTTTTGGGGACCAGGAGACACTCGTCAGAGGACACAAGTCGCGAGTGGGGAGCAGGCGCAAGGCCGGGACCTGTCGCGCTGCTGTAGGGGGTTTCGGCCGCGCGAGGAGGCGGGGCCGGGCCGGGCCGGAGTGGGCAGCGGACTCCGAGCCCGGTCACTGACCCCGCCACCGCGTGCGCGTCTCCTGACACCGTGTCCTGAACCTCAGACACAGTGAAACTTACTGAAAAATGAAAACATAACGGGCCGGGGATTTAGCTCAGTGGTTTCGCCGCCTGCCGCTCAATTAGAGCAAGGACCCGAGTTCGATGTCCGGTACCAAAAACAAACAACCAAAAAAAAAGTAACAAGATGTAAGGGGAAGACACCGTGGCCGCCCCGCTCCGGAGCGCGGAACGACGCGCCTGCCCGGGCTGAGCGGGAGCGCGCCGGGCCCAGGGCGCCAGGGACGCGGAGGCGGCGAGGAGGCTGGAGCCTGGCCCGGAGGGGGCAACGGAACGGGGAGAGGCTGAGGCGGGAGGGAGGCCCGGCCAGCTGCGTCTCACAGGGAATACAAACGCGTTTAGGGGCTGAGACCCTAAGTCACCGGTGGAGCTCTGGAGTGCGCGTGCGCACACGCTCGCGCTTCCCTGCCCCGCGGGGAACTGCAAGGAAGTAAACGTAGCTGCTCACTTAACTCAGCCCTGTGGGGCAGCCGTGCGAGCCCTACCTGGAGCCCGGCACCCTACCCAGAGCCCGCAGCATCTGCGCTCGCAGAGGGAGAGGCCTAGGCTTTTAGATCCAGACCATGTGACTCCGAGCTTCGGCTCTATTGCTCGGTCTGGAGAAGTGTTTGTATTTTGTTTCGTTTGGGTTTGGTTTGGTTTGGTTTGTGTTTGATTTGGTTTGCACTACTGGGAATCGGACCCAGGACCTTCTCACTGAGCTACAGCCCAGAGCTTTTTTTTTTTTTTTTTTTGGAGACAAGGTCTTGCTATTGTAGCCCAGGCTGGCCATGAATTCACAGTGATCCTCCTGCCTCAGCCTCCTGAGTGCTGGGATTACAGGCATGCAACACCACCACACCCAGCCTACATCCCAGTGCTTTTAATTTTTTTTTTTTCCACTTTGAGACAGGGTCTCATTAAATTGTTAAATTGCCCAGACTGGGCTCAAACTTGCAGTCTACCTGCCTCAGCTTCCCAGAGTGCCGGGATTATAGGTGTGCACCACCACCTCCAATTCTCATTTGTGTTCTTAAAAAGATGTAAGAGTGAGCCGGGGATCTAGCTCAGTGGTTCCACCACCTGCCTCGAAAGCCCAAGGTCCTGAGTTTGATCCCCGGTACCAAAAAAAAAGATGTTAGAATACATGAAGAACTCTTACAGCTCAGTAAAAGAGAAGACAAACCAACTCGAAGGAGGGCAAAGGTATACAAAGGCCAAAAGGTACACAAAAAGATGCATCTTTAGCCACTAGGGAAGTTCAAATCAAAGCCATCACTTCATACCCCCTGGGAGGGATGCCAGCCACAAATCAGACTGAAACGAGTGTCCCAGATGAGGAGCCAGGGGCCCCTCACAGGGCTGCTGAGGTGGAGACTGGACCGGCCACTTTGGAGAGCAGCTTGACAGTTCCTCAGAAAGGTGACGATAAGTCACCCACGTGGCCCGGCAAATCCGCTCCTGAGTAATTACCAAGAGAAAGTCAAACCTACCAACACAAGGCCTTACTCACAAATATTCACAGCAGCATCATTTACAACAGTCAAAGTAGGAATGACCCAAACACCCGTCACCCAGGGAGCGGGTAAATCAATGTGGTCTAGCTATGCAATGGAATATCACTGGGCAATATAAAAGGAATGGGGTGCTGATACCTGCTACAACGAAGATGAATCTCAAAAGGACTCTTAGGGAAAGAAGCCAGACACAAAAGACCACAGACTGTTGACTCCAAAACCATGAAACTTTAAAAATAGAATGGTAGGGACAAAGCGTGGATCAGTAACTGCCTAGGGCTGGGGAGAGAGGGGCCTGAGGAGTTTAAGGGAAGCAATGTTCCTCTCCAGGGTGATGGAAAGGCTCCAAAATTAGATTGCAGAGCTCGTTGTAAGGATACTGAATGCATTAAAATCTCTTTAAGTAGGCACTTAAAACAACTTAACTTGGGCAGGGGATTTAGCTCAGTGGTTCTGATGCTTGTCTTATAAGCACCAGATCCCGAGTTCAATCCCCAGTACAAAAAGAAAAACAGCTTAGTTCTACGGGGTGTGTTGATACCTCAATCAAGTTTTGTTTTTTGTTTTTTTGAAGCCGCCGCATCTCCAAGGAAGGTTCTCGGCCTGGGCCTCGGCTCCCCACGCGCGACGCCCCGAGGGCGGCCGGGCCTCGACGGCGCGCCCGGCTTTGCCTCGAAGGCGAAGGCGGGACTTGCGAGGTGCTGGGCGGGACTTGCGAGGGGAGGGGTTTGTGAGGGGCGGGGCGGGGCGGGGCGGTGCTGTCCGTCGGTGTCCGTCGGTGTCCGTCGGTGTCCGTCCGCCGGCGCCGGGACTCTGGGCCGCGCCCCGCGTGCCCGAGCCTCTCCGCAGCCCGTCCCGCGTGTCCGCGCGGCCCTGCCGGGCGGGGATGCAGTGGCCCCGCCGCCTGGCGCCGCGCGGGTCGGGGCCGGGTGCGCCTATGGCCGCCAGGTGGTTCAAGGAGCTGCCGCGGG